GTATAGTACAGTATATATAATATAGTATTGTATGGTATAGTACAGTATATATAATATAGTATTGTATGGTATAGTACAGTATATATAATATAGTATTGTATGGTATAGTACAGTATATATAATATAGTATTGTATGAGATAACACATTCAGTGATAATGTATTTTATCATGGGGTGGGGAGGCACGAGATAACCCATGATAAAATACATTATCACTGAATGTCACTCATCCTATAACGCTCATCTTATAACATGTCACAGATCCTGGATTAACACCAGACTCACGTGCTCAGATATTTCTCTGATCAAATCTACTCATTATGTTTCCTGACAATAAAACATTCTGTATATATGTTCTATTTCCTGATAATCCACAAACACCAATATTTTACCTTTATCAACATAAACTCTTTTCCTCGTTGTATGATTCATAATTTTCAAACTAAAGTTTCTGGTTCGTATTAAAATGAGCTGAAACTAGTTTACCGGTTTGTATATGATAAACATGAATGATTTCTATTGATTATTCTTATCTGCCCGAATGTTTATCGCTACTTAATAAAACAGTGTTTTTTACGTTACCTCAAAGTGTCAGAAAGCTGGTCAAGAATTCCTTCATCGCTCATTTCCGTAGAGTGCTCGTTACTGAGACTCAAAGTAGTTCTCTCTTCCGTCCGTGAAATCGGTATCAACGGTGGGGGCAATGATTGGATGGACTGTGAGTTGAGTTTGTTTCTATGACTAGATGGTGTTTCGTTACTGGAACGGCAAGCTGTGACGTAATTAACCACGTCATTCAATGTTTGACCTATGACAGAAAGAAGCATTCAGTGACTTGGTAGTTTTGTCTTTTTTTTCAAATATCTAAACAGTTCTTAGAGAAACGGGTATTGGTGTTAGTAAAACTTTCGTGCATTTGTCTTATTTGATAAGCCTAAATGACTTACCGTCGTTTTTGGAAACGTGTTGGTCCTTTGTGAAATGTGATTTTCCTTCTAAAACAAGGTCCGCTGCCGAAATGATGAGTTCTGCTGATTCTTCCAAATCCAAGGAAACCTCCAAATATAACTGGACAAAAAAATAAACCGAAATATTAGAAATAAAGATAAAATGATTTACGTTTCTTTAACTTGAACCACGTAAATAATAATATAAATATATGGCTAATAACCTGTACAGACAGAAAATAATAAAATGATTTACGTTTCTTTAACTTGAACCACGTAAATAATAATAGAAATATATGGCTAATAACCTGTACAGACAGAAAATAATAAAATGATTTACGTTTCTTTAACTTGAACCACGTAAATAATAATAGAAATATATGGCTAATAACCTGTACAGACAGAAAATAATTTTTAAAATGTATTCGATCCGTATACCAGGCTACTAAAAAAAAAAAAAGAAAACTTTACTGTGGTAGAAAAATTATAATTATGTAATAAATATGGAAACTTGTTTACTTTCTGGGGGAAAAGTTTTATTTATCATTATAATTATGTAATAAATATGGAAACTTGTTTACTTTCTGGGGGAAAAGTTTTATTTATCTTTTTAATCATCCCCATTGCAGAAAAAAAAGACATCCATTTTGTTGTTTATTTGGATACAACGCTACACAATGGGCTATCTGCGCCCCCTATCCACGGAGAGGAATCGAACCCTGGATTTTAGGGTTGTAAGTCCATATACTTACCACTGACCCACCAAAGGACAAGGCATCCGGTGCCAACACTTGAAGGAAGTAAATCGTTATACGCGTTTCGTCGATTTAAAAATGCCAGAGGTCGTAAGTAAACTATATATATATATATACTAAAATACATATGCTACATCTATATTTGTTATTTCAATATTTTTAGATATTATATTTTTCCTTACCAATAAGTGTTCATTAATAGAGATAAACTCTCTTCCTACCACACTTTTCACCAATAAGTACCTGTACAATTAACTTGAAATTATTTCAATATTGTATTTAACTATGTCTAAATGGACTGTTCTCTACGTCAAAACACTTACATTTGCGAGCTTTCGACCCCCCCCCCCTTGCTGAACCTTCATCGGGCAACAATGTACTAAGTAATACCTCAATATTGCTCAACACTTACATTTGCGAGCTTTCGGACCCCACTTACTGAACCTTCATCGGGCAACAATGTACTAAGTAATACCTCAATATTGCTCAACACTGACATCTGCGAGCTTTCGGCCCCCTTACTGAACCTTCATCGGGCAACAATGTACTAAGTAATACCTCAATATTGCTCAACACATTGTTGCTCGATGAAGACTCAGTAAGAGTGGCGAAAGCTCGCAAATAAAGAAAACGGTTTTAATTCACATATTAATTTACCTACGTTCTGAGTTTTAAACAACAAGTGTCTAATTGTAGGTTGTTTTTTATTGTTTTCAATATAAAATAATCCATGCAGATCGACTGTAAATTACTTTGAGACAAGGCTTTAAGAATTCCAACATAATATAACAAGAAATATTTAACTTGCTGGAAATGGCTAAATCTGTAATGGAAACTGTGTCTCAGCGCCCTCTAAAAATATTCAACCAATAAAATTTATTGTTTTCAATACTTTTTATTCCTAGCCCAAAACATAAATTTCTCTAACGTAATTACATTGTAGTAATTTTAAAACTTAAAGTTTAACAGTTAATGAAAAAAAAAAAAGTCATGGAATCGTTGTTTTGGTGACCTTCAGAAAATATGACGTAAGATATTGAATTGCTTTACCTGGCCATCCTCAAACACCAAGCAGGTGTTACTGGTCACCGCACTATCAGAGCGTCTGACGAGATTCGTCCAGTGGCCTGTGGGTTTCGTGGCTGTGTTCAGCCAACCTTTCAATTGTCCGTCATGCTCGAGCACCTGTTTCAAAACAAACAAAATTATTCACTTAATATACCGGAATGATCAAACATTTGCTCAGAGTAACGTAAAACAAAAATATTACAATAACCTTCTCTGTGCCTTTCCATTAACTTTCCTATTTCGCCAGTACCAATTTTTCAAACTTTATCTGGACTTAGAGTAACTTCCTAGTCTATGCGTCTTTAATCCACCACGCATGCTTAAATAGTTCTATGTATTAAAGACAATTTCACAATATAAGGCGGGGCCTGGAAAAACGAAGAAAGGAAAAAGGTCTCAACTTGCACTAAACAGAATGCTCTCATTTTCCATTTCCTATTATATAATTCGAAAGTATGCTATAGAGAGAATATGCTGCAGTAATGCTCGCAATATTGATCTCTAGGTCAATTCAATGTTAGTATAAATAGACGTATAGGCTAATGCACAATTTTAGTGCTGAAGACTTCAAAAAATAATAAATCGTTCCATTGTTATAGAAGGCGTTTATATTCACATCTTCTACTGTAGATAGTCTTCTCATACAATGTCTTTACGCTATACATGTTTTCTTTTTTTGGAACTATGTGTTTAGACTGGCAAATGGTGTATGTATTCGTTCCAACGAAACGGAAATGGCATTTTCTTCTGTTCTTCTACAAATGTACATTACAGCAAGATGGATGCTGCTGAACCGCTTGTGTTTTCTAGCCCTGCTACCGAGACTATTGTTATTATCGCCTTGGCAACCTAACGGGCACTTCAGAGCTTTGGTAAACGTGGCAACAATGACGGGAGAGTTAATGGCACTTTGTTGTTACTATACGTCTATCGTCTGCAGACACAAAATGAAGTTTTTATTTACGAGTTGCTATCCTGAAACCTGCTACAGTTTGACTTCGTCAATGATGTGATTTAGATTCGCAATTTTCTATCAAAGTCGTGTAGACGATGACTTTCAAAGCGCAAAAATACACATTTAGTCTACCGATTGGGGCTTTTACTAACACGTATCACACGCCCTCTATGACTAGTTAGACTATATTACACTAGGTATACAAATACAATGAAGTGTTGAATAAAGGTATTAATTGTTAGTTTTGACGGACGACAAAGTTCATGAAACCAAAGAACTCAATATAGGATACAATCCTGGCAATAAAGTTAGGGGAAGAACAAAAGAAATGACCTTTACTCTTCAGCCAACGTTTCAAATCAAAGGATTCTTGTACTACTAGTCCCGAAATGGCGAAACTTTAGGAAAAATAAAACGTTTATTATTATTACTATCTAGGGGTAAAGATTATTATTTTTTTACAATTTTATTGCGAAAATCCTCCAATATACACTAATCAGTCAGTTCGTGTTAAATATGAACTCTAACGCTATAGACAGAACTACAACACTCATCCTATAAAACATCAAATTAGAACACAATTTTTCTTTTCTTCTTCAAAAGTTAATTTTAAAAGAAAAAACAAGGTTTTTAGTTTTAATGCATTCAATCTTCTTCACTTTATTATTCGTTACAAAAAAATTTATATATTTTATACGAAACAAGATATTAATTATTAACCTTCTCCCTGGGCCAGGCGTGGCTTAGTGCTAGCATGCCCGGACTATGAATCAAGGGTTCATGGTTCACGTCCCACTATGGTATTTTGATGCTATAAGAGTTCTAACTGTCAAACCTCTCGCTATTAGATCAGACAAGAGTTGGTGGCGGGTGTTGTTGATTAGTTGCCTTACCTCAGTTTATCTTTTCAAAATTAGGTACTTTTAAATGCAGCTCTTGTATAGTTTTGCGCGAAAATCCTAATCAAAGAAACAAAAACCGTCTCTCAAAATAAGCAAACCTATAAATATCAAACATATGAACTCTAACGCTATAGAGTATCTTACAGTTTCAACTACTCTGATATTTGATATCTTACAGTTTCAACTACTCTGATATTTGATATCTTACAGTTTCAACGACTTTAATATTTGATATCTTACAGTTTCAACGACTTTAATATTTGATATCTTACAGTTTCAACGACTTTAATATTTGATATCTTACAGTTTCAACTACTCT